AAATCTGCAATTTACACAAAGGCTGTGCTACAAAAGGCTCAACACAACATTGAGTTTATTGCTGAAAATCTAACTGTTATAAAAGAGAAGAAGTGGAAGTGGGCAAGGTCAAATGCTTGGCTGAGGTTTTGCTAATGTAGCCCAATATAGTATCTTTTTTAAAAACTCATTTTCACTCCTTGTTTTTCAGTGTTGTGTACCTGATACACTGAAAAGAAAGACTGCCTTAATAATGCAATCTGATCTCTAGCAAAACATAAAATTTAATGCATGAACAGGCAACAAAAGATTGACAGCTGCCTATGGGCACTATATAGAGTCCTGGATGTTCAGAGTTTTGAAGGGATGAGGGAAGAAGAAAAGAAGAAAAAACAGACTTTTTAATGTGACGCCCTTTGGAGATTGCAGAATATAAAAACACTTTAACAGTCAGTTCTTGTGCCCTTAAGGATTTGTCTCCGATTTTCTCCTACAGTTGACTTTCAGCCCTTGAAAAAGAAGCAAGCATGTATGAGCTTTCTTATGTTGTTGAGAAATAGAATAGCTTCATTACAGATATTGGAACATGGAGGAAACAACCCTATATTCACATATAAAACAGCAGATTGCCAGCCAATAGAATGTGCTCCTGGGTTTGCTATTAACTCAGTGCTCTGTATAGTCAGAAAAATGTATTGAATGTGAGGTACTGGTAGGAAAGAATTAAATAGCAAAGTGTAAACCCTCACTCTTGATATGTGTACAATCATAGCAGAGCACCATATGTAAGAATTGGCCTTCCCATTCCCTCCAGAGAGAGTTTGTAGAATAACAACAAGTTAAAAATGCAATGGCTTCTGAAAGAGAAAGAAAGCAAATGAGGTCTTTTTAAATTGGAAAAGAGAAAACTGGAAAAGGACGTGTTGGAAGTCTATGAAATCTGTGTACAGTAATAGGGAGATCAGTTGTTCACTGTGCCTTCCAATGCAAGGACTTCAGTTCTCCAATGAAGGCCTGGCTGCCTAGTTCTAATAAAAGCACAGCCTGATTCAACATATAGCCTGTAATTAAGCTATAAAGTTTACCACAATATGTGACAAGTGTTACAATTTTATCCCAAATGTAAAAAAAAACAAAACAAAACACTGGATATATTAATGCATAAATCCATTGAGAAATTATATATGCATAGAACACCTAAGCTAAAATAAAAAGTGTTCGAAGGTTGAGAATACATATGAGTTTGTTCTATTTTTGTTCTCTAACATTTCAGTGCTTTCAGTGAAGACACTGGATCAAACAAATCTTTGGTCGAGCTTGGTTTGGTTCTCTGTTGTTCCCTGCAGAGATCCATACCTTAGACAAATATATACTGCCATCACAGGGTAACAGCACAAAAGATTAAGTACCTCTACTCTTTCATTCAGTGATGAAATACAGACATTTCCTTTATGCTATTGAGAGGAAAAGAGGGAAAAACAGAGCAAATATATAAAAACTGTTTAATTTTGCTAGGGATATTGTGAAGTCTAATGGGCCTCATATTTATCCTACTTGGACTCAGATCTATCTTGTAGATACAAACTTGTGTATTATAACAAAAACACAGACATTTGACATAGAAGGTGTGAGAACTTTAGACAGCAACTGTATTCAGCAATGAAAGAAATAATTGTGAGCAAAGAACTATTTCCAAAAGTATTATACATAGTTTTATTAAGAAAATTAAAAATGATCTAAGAAAAATACTGCAAAATGAACAAGTATAGACCAAAATCATGTTTCAATACAATAATAAAATAACACAAAGAGTTCCCTTTCCACTAAATGATAACCTAACACACTAGCACATTTGACAAAGCTAATAGTATGAGTGGAAACTACTATCATTGGCAAAAAACTCAAAAGATTATTATTTCAATAATTTTAGCTTTGCACCCTTGCTATCAGTCTTCATTTGTGATGAAAAGTTGAAGCTGTGAATCACACAGATCAAAGCTTCTTCATTTACCACAGAATCATAGATGCTGGAAGGGACTTCTGGAGATAATTTAGACCAAGTCTCCTGGTAAAGCAGGTTCCCTAGAATAGGCTAAACAGGAAGACATCAGGCAGGTTTTGAATATCTTCCGACAAAGAAACCCTGCAACCTCTCTGGGCAGCCTATTCCAGTGCTCTATCACCCTCAAAGTAATGAAATTTTTTCCTCATATTTGTACAAAACTTCCTGTGTTCCAGTTTGTGCACACTGCCCCTTGATCTGTTCCTAGGCACTGTTGAGAAGAGCCTGGCCCCATTCATTTGACATCCACCCATTAGATACTTATAAGCATCGATAAAATCCCCTCTCAGCTTTCTCTTCTCCAGGCTGAATGGTCTCAGATTACTCAGACTTTTCTCATAAAGGAGATGCTCCAGGCCCCTTATCATCTTTGTGGCCCTCTGCTGAACTCTGTCTAGAAGATCTCCATTTTCCTTGAACTCAGCAGCCCAAAACTGAACACAGTACTCCAGATGCCAATTCACTAGGGCAAAGTAGACAGGGTGGATCACCTTCCTCAAGCTTCCGGCCACACTCCTTTTAATGCACTGCAGAATCCCACTGGCCTTCTCGGCCAGAAGAGTGCACTGCTGACTCGTGGCCAACCTGCTGTCCAGTAGGACACCAAGCTCCTTCTCTGCAGAGCTCCTCTCCAGCAGGTCAGTCCCTCACCTCTACTGATGCATGTCATTATTCCTCCCCAGCTGCAGGACTCTGAACTTGCCCTTGTCAAACACCCTAAGGTACCTCCCCTGCCTACTTCTCCAGCCTGTTCAGGTCTTAACGATTAAATACAGATGATGTATTTGTAAATCTGTGCCAATAATAATTTTGAATGGTTCTGCTCAAAGCTATGAATCTTAGTGGGTAATTCCTTTTTCAGTTTTATCATATATACCTCATTTATAGTGTGAACCTATTCCTGACCAAACAAGGACACAGTCTAAATGTCCTGTTAATTCTAATAAACTCATAATTGATTTTCCACACAACTTACCTATCCTATTGTTTTTATTCATCTATAGAAACTTCCTAGATTTTGACTATTAATGAGTACTTAGTTCTGCAGAAACTGTTTTATGTACTCCTCACCTGGGAATGGAAACACTGAAGTTGTCCACAAAATGATTAGTTGGGTTTTTTTTCCCCTGCATCTTTCAATCTCACTTTTTCCTGAGAATCTTTCAGTATTTATAGATGGTTTTTTAATGACAGAGTTAATTTGATACAGATCCATCATTTCTTTTACTTCTAGATGCTAGAGGTGCTAGTTGAAATAGAATCTGCTAATTTGAAGCATACTTGATCTTTCATTTCATCCAATTTACTTGCAAAACAAACTAACCACACAAAAGCAAAGGTAGGTATGAAGGTGAGAGGGTAACACTCAGACTTCCTAATAATGAAACTGTTTCAAATAACCAGCAGCATTGTTTTTGAAACCAATTCTCTGCTCCTTAACAGCTTTTGACAGCTATCATACGTCTTTGCCACAGGGCCTAAGTGTCCAAAGCACCTACTTCCCAGTGAAACTCACAGGAATATAAGTAGTTTTTTTTATCACCAATTAGCTATGACCTTGGCTTGTGAGATATTCCAGCAAGAGTTATATTTTTAGAATGTATCCTAATACACAGAACTCAAATCTTCAGGATTCATTGCAAGCAAGACATTCATATGTGGAAGAGGAGTCATAGGGACATCATATATCAGGATAAAGAACTCATTAAGTGGAAAAGAAACCTGCAGTAATTCCAGAGAACCTATTACTTTTGTTAAGTACATGGTCTAAGGACCCATGACAAAGTATTCAATTTTAATGGTAAAACTGATAAAATATAAAACTCTAAATAAAACTGCAGCTCTGCTGTTCTGTGCTAAGATCACAATTTTCAGGCTGTGCATAGAACAGCTATTTAGAACCTCTGAAGTAAGCTGCCTGTATATTCCAAAAATACTGGAATGCTTTTTCTGGTGGACTTCTGCTGTGGAGTGAACACTGGATAAGAAAAGAGGAGTTGTTCACATTTATGCAATTAAACTCTAAAAATGAAATAAATACTATTGTGCTTGAAGGAACTGCCCTTTCCATGCAGTGTTCAACTTCCTGCAAGGTGCAGGATGTTCAGAAATTTACCTTCAGCTGAACCCAAAATTAAGTACTCAATTTATCTTCAGCTAGACTTTTGCTAGTGTAATGCAGAGAGTTTCCTTCAGATTAATAGTCTGGCTGTCATTAGAGAAAGCACCTGAACTAGCTGAACATACTACTGATCCAAGAATTAAAAAAAAAAAAAAAAAGTCACAAAGTACAAAACCAAGGCACCAATTCCTCATGCTTCTGTTCCTTTCTCCTCCTTTTCTCTCTTCCCTGTAATCTTTTCTACCTTAGCTTTTATTTTCACTTGAATGAAAACCAGAGGATTTTACTGCCAGGAAAATTGCCATCAGAGTACACCTGACATTATTCATGCTGGCAAGGAATCATACAAGTCGGCAGAGACACTTCCACAAACACACAGATGCTGCACACCTGTGCAGCTGCTGCCAAACAGAAAAAGTACACATGAACCACATGTGCCTGCAGAAATTGAAATGTTCTGGGATCTTCTTTCTGAGGATGCAGTGATGAGGTAAGGAAAAAATGTTTTAAGGACAGAGAAAGTAATAAAAGAATGCTAGTGCTGGGGGTCTGGCTAGTAAAAGTATGGACATGAGAAAAATTTCTGTACCATCAGAGTGATGTTTTCTCTTCTGCTTATCCTAAAGAGAGCTTCACAAAGAGTGAAATAATTACATCAATGTCCTCCTATAAGATTTCACTACTTTACATTCAGAATTAAATGTTTGTTGTAACAAAAATCTTATTTAAGACATACCATCAGGTGAGTTGGAAAACCCATGTGAAACATTTCTTTACTCTTAGCTTATCAGCCAGCTATATTAATCACCAGACATTTTATGCAGGTAGGGGCAGTAATTTCTCCTTAAACTGCTTTGCTAACACACCACGAGGACTTCTTCATTATAACTCCTGCCTTGCAGACAGCCCCTCTGGGTCTCACATTTGCTTTCCACAGCAGCAAACTGGTAAGTCAATCCTTTCTTGTCAAGGTCATATTTGTGATAAAGCTCAAATAAACTGCAGGGCATAACAAATATTAAAGTAAAAATATCCCAAAATATAGATTTGGTGGTTTCATTTTTTTTCTTTTAATTCTTGCATTTTAACAGAGTCCTTTTTGTAGAACACATAGTACATATTAGGTTATTTAAGTAGCACAACAACACAGCACTCTTTTTTTTTTTTTTTCTTCTTTCTTCCTAATAAAGCAGCTACCATATACAAAACTTTGCATCATTAAAGAAATGAGGGCACTGGCAGTAGCTGTTTAATTTCTGTGGGCGCTGTGATTTCCCAATGCCTGTCTCTCTTGAAATGCTCGTTGTTTTGCCATCTGCTTGTGTGTGTGAAAATCTGCACTTCATTGATAATCTTACACAGGTTTGTCAAACTGCCTGGAGTTCTGTGTATCACCAGATCAGAATAATAAAAGAGGCTGTCAAAAAGAGCATTAAATATATTGTCATAAACATCACCGTCCAATATATTTTAGCATGGTTGTTTTTTTGGTATAGCTTTTTTGTTTGTTTATTTTGCTTATACGCTTACTCGGTGTACCAAGACAGTCTTCAAATATAGCATTCAAGACACACATTTAAAATGAGAGTGAACAGGCAGTGTCAAAATAATGCAATTACAGACATGATACCACACTCCCAAAGTATAACTTCTGTATAATAAGCTGTTCAATAAGAGGCCAAAGATGACTTTTTTGGTGATGGTGTAATGCTAATGGGAGTTCTTCATAGCATAACAATAAGGATCTGGGCAAAACAGCAAAGGCACCCTGAGAAACTATTCCATATAGTTTTGGAGTGGCCACTTGGGCACTCTAGAGATAGCTCATATTCATTTTCATGTACAACCAAATACAAACTTAGAGACAGCAGTTTGACTTAGAAATAGCTTTCTACATGCTGTACAAGTGGAGGTCAGTCACATTCACATGTCTGAGTGAAAGCTGGAGACTTTCATTACAGCTCACCTGCATCGGAAATGGGAAGTCCACTCAGACTAGAATGGATTCATACATTATAAATTGAGAGAGGATTTCTTTAAAATATTTTTGGGCAAAATGTATTTCAGGGAATAACGAAGAGTCCACCTACCACTGCAGCAGACATCAAAAAGAGGTGAGTGAAGACTGTTATGAGTGGCGACTTTGCATATGACGTTGGTTTTCACACTATTTTGGATCTGTGCATAGAGAAATACAACATCACCTAAACACTAAACTGGAATTTGCCAGTTAGGTGAAGTGCTCTGCTTATTCTTAGCTTATGCTCTGCCAGGTATCTGCTACTTCCTATGTATTTGCTGCTTTAAATATATTTTCCATTTATATATCTTGCATATTAGGATGAAATGCATGAATGACAGAAAAAAAAAATATGGGATACTAAAAAGCTTACGATAGGCTTTGCTCAAGATGAAATAAAATGTAAAATTAAAGAAAATTAGGCAAAGAAATGGAAAGAGAATGTGAAGTGATCTGGCTATATATTCTGGCTCATGTATTATTTTTATTTTTTCCACTTAGAAATCACTCAAGTCTCCACAATTGCCTAGGCATTAGATACACAATAAATATTACATTTGGATCATTTTTAGCTTTGCCATTACTTTTTATCCCAATCCTGCTCAGCACCACAGCACATATATCACTGTCTTAAAACTGCTATGCAAGAAATCAGAGTATAAGCTGGCTGTTCTTTCCTGGAATAGTATGTTAATGGTTGCCACGGTGATGCACGTACTAAGTTAACTCTTGACTAATAGTTTGCTGAAGTAACACAGCAGTATGAGCCAATGCAGAACACTGTGAGAGAAAACTTGATGACTCACGGTGTTCAAGCTGAGTCCTTAAAAATTAGCAGACACATATCTAAGCTACAGTATATTTTGCAGCCCGTAGACACTCTTGGTTTTTGACAACTGAAAAACTCTTCCCTACGCATCAGAAGAGAAATAGTTTTTCTTCTCTTGCAGAAGGATAGCAAGAACATAACATTCTGAACACTGTTCTAGGGGAAAAAGATTGAGACACATACTGGTCTCTATGCTTCCTTGCTATCTATTCACAGATAAATGATGTTAAAGTCTCAATAATGAACCCCCAAATTTTGGATGCCCGAGTTAGAATAAAGATTAAGAGATCACTGAGAAAACAGCATTCTTACATACTCCTCCCTCTATCTATCCGTACTTCTATCTCTACTCAGCCAGAAAACATTCCCCCCCCCCCCCCCTCACAATTTACAAAAAAACATTTAGTGACACTATCGTCTTCCTACTTTGCACTTCTAGCCACCTACAAGTGACATTGTGTTCCTTTAACAGGCCATTATGTTGTCTGCTTGAAAGCGTTTGTTTGATGTAATTCCTTACAAATGTACTAGAAAAGTCACATTTGTTTCCAGCTTTCTAAAAGTGTATTTCAGATGTTTTTTTTTCCTCTTTACCTGTAACTTAAGTTTTGCTCTCCCATATTGTGGTGGATCCTTGCTAGCATATAGGCCACTGTTAAGTCACTCTCCTCAAACTGCCATGCAAGAAGCCTAGTTTTGTGAGGGGAAAAAAAAACAAACAAAAACCAAACAAACACAAAAACCATCTAGCTTTTACCATCTCCAAGGAGATCCGATTTGGAGGGGAACAAATGCTGTGGGTCTGCTTTGAGACAGGCCTGGAGATCAACAAGACAATCTGACTTCTGCAGACTGGAAATTGCCAACTGCCAACCCCACCAAACACGTGGCAGGGACAAATCGTCAAGATGAACACTTACAGATGCGGATGAGCTCTAACAGCAGAAGATGTGATCTGCATTACTTGTAGGTCATTCTGTGCTGGTACTATGTGGCATTGACTGTAGATATACAAGAGGAGATGGGACTGTTTACTCTCATCCCCCTCTATTTTATCATTCAGCATGCGATTCTCAAAGGCAAAGATATCCAAAGTCTGATTGTTCATAATGAGAAGGCCATTCAGTAAGAGACTACTACCTACTCTTTCCTTCTGATCTAAGGCCCTCAAAAGTTGTACATAAGTGACATCCCTCTGCATTATTTATTTGCCATAGTCTTCCAATTCATGTACCTAAACCACGTGACTCCTGGAAAACATGAACACACCTCCCCTTCAACCAGCACACTCTTGATGAATGAAAAGAGGGAAGAAGAAATGGCAAGCGAAAGGTCCTGATCCATAGAGGAGCTTCATGCTGTACTAATATTAGCCATACAGAGGTAGAATGAAGAGAACAACATTAATTCCTATGCAAAATAAGGCTGTTTCTGATAAGTGTTCAGTACCTTGATGCCCAAAGTGTACACTAACTGATTTTCTTAGGAAGTTTTTTATTCTCTGGAATATTTCCCTCTAGCAGGCAGAAGAAAATAATCTAGTTGTTAGGCTTGAGGAACTCAAGAGGCCACAGCAGATCTAAGTAGAAATATTTATTGCAGCTCTGTGTCCTTTTTCATTAATAGGAGAGCATCCTAATGGAAATATTACCAAGGAAACTTACTGGCAATGATTCTATTGAGGAAAAGAAATAATAACAAGGCCAGAAGTACAAAAATGTAGTAAATTAACCCAAATAAATAAAAATATAAAGAACATTCTATATGTCAGACAAGTTGCTAATCCAGCATTCTATCTCCTATCAAACTATTGTTAAGGACAAGGCTGGAAAAATGAGCCAGTACTAACCTTGTGAAATTCAGTAAGGACAAATGCAGAGCCCAGTCCCCAAGAAGCAAGAGCCCTTTTAAACACCGCAGGCTGGAAACAAACTGACTGAGAAGCAGCTCTGCTGAGAAGGCCTCAGGGATGCTGGTGGATAGCAAGCTGAACATGAACCAGCAATATGCTCCAGCAGCAAGGACAGATAACAGCATCCAGGGCTGTGTTAACAAGAAAATAGTTGCTAGTTTGAAGAAAACAATTTTCTTCTACTTGGCACTTATTAGACTACATCCAGGCATCATGTACAATTTTCAGTTTTGTGATACAAGGAAGGTATCAGTAAGATATGACAGGTTCAGCAGGGGCCAGTTGAACAGCAGGAGCTGAAGCATGAGCACTTGCACAATAAGAAAAAGCGAAAGAGTTAAGCTTGTTCAGGACGAGGAAAAAATGGCTTCAGAGAAATATGGCTGTATCATCCAGCACCTACAAGAAGGACAACAACAAGTAGCCAGGTTCTTCACTGGAATACATCAGGTACATAAGACAAAGAACATTTGTTGTGACAATAGAGGGCCCGACCATACTAAGGAGGTATTTTCCATTTGCAATGCAATGGAAAACACAACAATGCTTTGGAAGCAAAGCAGCAAGGTCCTAGACTTCAGCAGATGAGAACTTCCTCAAATGCAACTGCTATAGGCACAAAAATAAAGAAGCTGCTTACCTTCAGAAGACCTCAAGTAAGCAGGGATTTTCAGCAAAATACTATTGCATCTACTACCAACCTTTAAATGAAGTCTGGGAAGGGGTGGATGCTGGCTCCACACATTCCAGTCTCAGGTGCATTACATACACCTGATCTTCCCTGGGTCATCCCTGCTTTTTCACCAGGTGCTTAATTGCTGTTTCAAGTCATTACTTAGCATTTCCACCACACCATCTTTACAGGATTTTGTGACCCAACTGGAAAAAGCTCTAAGAATAGATCAGATCAGACCTCAGAGCTGACTCTGCTGGTGAGCAAGAGATTGAACTTCTCCCCTATGCTTAGTACTGGAGATGAGTTCACACTTGGAATAATGTGCCCAGGAAACAAGAGACATGGAGGTACTGGAGGGAGTCCAGCAAGTGACCACAATGATTAAGGGAATAGAGCATCTGTCCAATGAGGAAAGTTTTAGAGAGCTGAGACTAGCCTAGAGAAGTATCTTATCAAAGTGTACAAATGCATGAAGGGAGGAAGTAATGAAGACAAAGCCAGGCTCTTTTCAGTGATGTCTATTGCCAAGACAAGTGGCAACAGACACAAACTGGAAGACAAGAGGTTCCCTCTGAGCATCAGGCAGCACTTTGGTTCTGTGTGAGTGATAGAGCACTGGCACAGGCTGCCCAGAGACTGTGGAGTCTTCTCTTTAGACATTTTCAAAAACCTCTGGATGTGGGCCTGAGCACCCTGCTCTGACTGTTCCTGCAAGAGCACTGGTTGGACCTGATGGACCCAGAGGCCCTGCCAGCCTCAGCTATGCTGTGGTACTGTGTGCTAGAGATCTCCAGAGGTCCATCCAACTCAAATAACCCTGAGATCCTAAGAAACACTATTTATGGAAAGCACACTAACAGAGCCTCTCCAGTATTCTGAACTGGCATATTAAGGATGTGTATATCTGTTCTCTTTTTTCTGTGGGCTTCATGTCCTTGAACCCATCTTAAACTCTTTCCTCCCTCTAGTGATTCTGTGCATAGGATTTTACAAATACTAATTTTAGAACAGTTTATAAGTATTCCCTAAGCAGAAAGAAACTGCATTTAAATTTGGGGGGAATTATTTGCCTGGCTCTGATGGCCACAGCAGCAGCTGCACTTCTAATCTTCAATTCTGCAAATATTTATGGAAGCAATTTTACTGACTAAGCAGTCCATCCACTTATCACTTTTATTAAAATTTCTCATCTGAGTGGTTATACTTACATTCATGTTTGCAAAAGTTGGTAATTAATGCCATGTCTCTGATTTTATCTTCAGCCCAGTAGGAAGCCAAAGTACACAGAGATCCATTCAGAGAGTTTTTGAACATAAGTAGGTATTTCCAGATACTTAATTGCATTTTCTTCCCTGCTTTTTTCTTCATACAATCTCTCAAGTAGCAAGCAAACTGAAAGAATACAGGCCAGAAGATGCATTTTCATTGTTTCTAGAGAGCACTGTCTGCAGGTAGAGAATGCCTCACTTTTTAACATAGTGCAGAGAGGCTACTGAATACACTTGATGCAACTAGTCAATTTGGTTGTGAGCTTTTTGGTTGTTTATTTTTTTTCTAGTGTACAGATGGGAACTAAATCTAACTTTTCAAGCTGTTACTTGTCTGATTCAAACTATTCTCCCTGCATGAGTTCCAGCATTTTTTGGTGGAGTCATAAACTTAGGTCTCTGGCTAGCCACAAGCATCGGTCAAATAGGTTGCATTGGTAATAAGGAGCAACATCCTGTGTGTTTTCAGCTAAGGTAATTGTAGTCAGTCCTCCATTTTCCTTTTGCAAAAATAAATATGATAGCATTAGTATTTTATAGGATAAGGGAAGAAAGGTTTGTGAGGAAAAATGTATACAAGCTCAGTCAGTCCAGCTCTGCTCAGAAATGGAAGCGAGTTGGTTGTTGCCCTGAATTTCCACTGTCTCATTCTCCTTCTCCTGGAACAAGGGCTGCAACACAGTGAGCAGGCCAGGGGTAGAGAGACAGAGAAGATTCCCAGTGCTACCAGGGGCCTGAGGAGTGAGATGTTAACTGCTTTTGCTGAATGGGAGACAGTTCTGTAATACATCTCTGAGCAGCAGTTGCCTCCCCTGGCTCTCCACAGCTCAGGCACAGGCCAACTGAGAGCCATGCCTACAGGCATCTTGCCACCACTAATGGTTTCCTACATCATGCAGACCTACTTTGCCAGTGCTTTGCTCTATCAAATGTGTTTTGCTTTTTCTTTTCCATTTGAATAATTTATCCCTTGCAAGTTCCTGAGCATTGGAATCCAGAGTTTAAAGGCTTCTTAAAATAAAAAGCAGTTCAGAGCCATTTTTTCTGGACTACAGTGGCAGATTTCTGTCTGTGCATAGCATTGTCAGGTGTTTATTTCAGGTTCTGGCTTTCTTGTGCTTTGCTCTAAAATCGCAAAAGCTTCTCCATTGGAAAGAGCATTGATCAGCCCAGCAATAATCTGCTTACTTGCTTCACTGATGAAACAGATCCAGGCTGTAGTGAGTTTCTGCTCCATGTCATTTCCATACCCACTAAGGATTAGGATACTTATAGCAATGATCAAGGTCATGGAAAGAATTTGGCCTTGACCACGCTTTTTCTGCTGATGCACTGAGGCAGCCATATCCCCCCAGTCAGGTTAATCAAATCTCCTTTAGTTTGTATTTTCTCCTTTAAGATGTCAGCTGCAATGAAAATGATAACCTCTCTGACCTCAGCAATCATCTCTCACTGGGTTTTTTCATCCCTGAATCTGTTAATTGAAACTAGAGAGTCACAAGATCAGCACTATACATAGTTTAGTCCTAATCATATGAAGTCTGAATCCCAGCTAGGAATTTATGTGTGACACTAATTATGACTGACATTGCCTATTAGAGTGGGAGATAAAAATCACATCACAGTGTAGCTGAAATGGTCTTGCAACCTCTCTACAGCTGGCTTAATGCTTCTTCACAAATAGCTTGACCTTTAGAAAAAGGAGGGGGGAAAAAGCAGGAGATGTTTTGAGCTTTAAATGATTCCCATTTGTAACTGTATGAATGGCACATTTGGACCAATTTCCAGTCTCTGGCATTTCTAAACTGTCATGTTACAAACAGGCAGCAGGCTATAAACTTTCCCCCTAGAGGAAAGGAAGGCAATCGTGTAGGTACCCCATCAAGTCTGCGGAGCTGCAGCATCAAGCTTGGTGCCTGCAGACAGTGCAGCAGTTCCATAAGGTTACAGCATTGACTCATCAGTGGCACTGTAAATATGTTGGGCTTGTGCCCTGTTGCTGCTTATAGATTGATGGTATCTCTGCAAAATGATTCTGGAGCGGATATAAAGGCTATGGAGGGTTGGGACTTGGTGCCTTTTACCCACGCTGCGCTGCTCCAAGACCAGTATTTCTTTATGTCATTTTCAGATGCAATAAGAGACTGGGAAAAGAATAAAGAGAAGAAATCAATGTGGAAAGAAAATGGAATCTTTGACTGAAAGCCACAAGAATAGTCTGACACCCAGCAAATTCTTGTGGCATTGCTAGGAGAGGTTGTTTTAACTTCAGTTCATACACTGAATTTCAGAGGTGACTGCCAATGACAGTCAGCCACTTTACAATGTAAATAAGTAACATGACTAGGGGATATTTTAGATATTTATTTTTGTTTAGGAACTTCTCTGCTGACTTGAATTTACTTCCTATTTCACTCTCAGCTGCTCTCTGATCCAGGAAGTACTGAACACTGACATATAAATGACAATTCTGTTCATGCAAAATAAAATATTAAGTTCCCAATTTAAATACACCATGTGTAACCCTTGCCAGGAAGCTACTCCTTGACAGTAGGGATCATCTCTGAACTGAGGGCTATAATCCAGAACCAAAGCAGATGCTACTTTTGTGAAAGTGGAAATCAAACATGCACAGCAGCTGTATGTGAGATTAAGTATATGCTGCCCCACCTGAGAAGGGGAAAAGCCGTTTGTTATTAAAACAGTGGCCAGAGAGACAACAAGAACTTAGAGTTATGGTCTCAGGTTAGTGACCATTTACTGGGACACAGGACAAGAGCAGGGCCTGGAGCATGCTGTGCCATCCCTCACCATGGAAGGAAGTATGTGGCTTCAAGCCTAGAGGATCTCCTAAGCCCAGGTGGAGGTCTTTTAGCTCATAATACAAGATTCCCAGTACAATTGATATAATTCTCCCTATCATGATTAAAAGCCCAGAGTAAAATTTTAGTGGGAAAGCAGTAGAGAAACAAAATGTGGCACAGTGCAGATTGCCTGCATCAGCACTTGCTGCCCTTTCTGTAGAAGAAAAGTGGCTTTCACTGACAACAGCAAGCCAGAGTCCCTGAAGAGAAGCTACAGCAACAAGCTGTCAGGTGGCAGCTAATGACAGAAGTCATTACTCTCACAGGAGTTAAGTCCCCAACTGAGTGTGATGCTTTGCGGCTGTGGACCCCAGCAGCAAAGCCTCATACCCAGCCACTCCATGCAGTTATCTGCTCTGTAGAAAGAACTGCAGTCACTTGTACTCCTTACAGGTGAAATGACTACAACAAACCTGCCTTCCAAGCAGAGGACAGAGACCAGCTGCTAGCTACAAGCTTAACTGTTTTCAAGTGCAGCACTCCAGTTGACATGTACAAGAGCAATTCACATGTTCCTCATGCACTGTTTCTGTATCCCACTGGGTTGAGCACTGCAGGCAGGAACAAAGAGCTGACAAGTACCTCCAAGAAGCCTCTCTTGTAAGTATCCTGCCTTTCTCCAGCACTGTGCTACGCTCAAGTCAGCAGTGTTCAGAGCCTGAACTGCAGTCAGGTTTGTTTACTTCCTGACCTAGCTTAGACACGCAAAACTTCTCCCTGTTCTTCTGAGGCTGCTATAAACAGGAATGAGTAATTCTGCTGAGATGAATCTTGCTCGAAGTGTCTGTATAGGCACATGTGAAGACAGGGCAATATCTAGAGACTAGCAAATGTAGAAACAGATACCATTTAGAAAGGAGGTTAAGATACTAGGAGAAAAACCTTTTTTGTGTTTCAAGTTGACATTAATCAGCTTCTCAGTTGAATTCCACAGATTTTCTTAGTTAAAATGTTTAATAAGTGCATGAGAATAAAGCATTTAAACAATAAAACAATTCAAGCACTTGCATATTACAGAGAATCACAGAATCACATTACCACAGAATCCTAGAATGTCTTGGGTTGGAAGGGATATTAAACATCGCTGAGTTTAATCTAGTTTCCGCTCACCAGCTCAGAGTGCCACAGCCCCATCCCACCTGGCATTGAACACTTTCAGGGATGGAACATCCACAAGCTATCTGGGCAGCCTGTGCCAGTGTTTCACCACTCCTCGTGTAAGGAATTTCCTCCAAATATCTAACCTGAATTTCCCCTTTTAGTTTAAGATCACCACACTCCTATCACTATCAGAGTGATCAACTGTCTCCCCCTCCAGTTTATAAGATCCCTTTGAGAACTGGAAGGCAGGCAAAAGAAAGAAAAATGGCTGAAATCAGTTAGAAAGAAAAAAAATAAATAATAATTACAAAGTATATAAAACTGCAGCCTCCTTTTTTACAGCTGCCTTCGGCATAAAACCTATTGTTCTGTTAAGATAAAGAGATATCTGTTTTGATTGCTGTACCCCCCAGAATACTGCTCAGCTGCACAGTTTTAGCTGGAATAATTAGACATCCTGAATTCATTCTTTCTCTATTGTAAGGGAAGTTTAAACTGCCTAAAATCTTGCTAAAGCCTTTTGTACAAGAAAGATAGTCATACAAGCCTGCCTGAACTTAGACACAGATATGAATTCAAATTCAATAAAGAATTATCTAGAGTTTTTATTAAAGCAAAGAGGATACCAGGCTTTAAGATAAAATAAGTTTAGAATGTCACACTTTAAGAAAACCTGAAGTAGAACACTTGAGTGTTGATAAAATCAGTCTCCAACAGGAAAAAATAACTCAGCCTTAAACAAAAGAGGTAACAAATATAGATATATAGCAGAACTGTCTAAAAGTGTTCAGTGAAATACTTTTATCCAATAACAAAACTAAAACAGCAATTATAGAGTAACTCACATGGGGAGGGAGGAAGTGGTGGACAAAGGAGGAGCACTCACTAAGCAAGGGATAGTCTTCGGTTATCCATCTATTTGGCTGAAGCCTCACAGTGTGCCAGAAGCACAGCCAGTAGGCTATGTCTAGTAGCATCCTTCAGCTTTTTATTTCATCTGGTTTTTCTCAAAACTGGTATGAAAAACAGAACTTTTTTCCTCCTGTAGTGGTCCCAGTAGTCTTTCAACATTCTGGTGGGTATCAACTGTCTTCACAAAAGGAAAGATAAACACCCAAAACTCCGAAAACATGTTTCTTCAGAAGCATGCCTCTCAGCACAGCTTTAGCTTCATCCAAACTTTCTTCTATAGAGAGAAAAGTCATGCAGAACTTAGGTCTGCAGGGACCATGCTTACACCAAAGAGTTTTGTGTTTGTAGGAAATGCTATGCTCAGCTGAGATGCTTTGGGAACAATATGCACAGCAGGTGGTAGAAAAATACTTCCTTGGAAGTGACAGAAGACGCTAATTACTTACACTTTAAAACTGAAAATACACAAATTTATGTGGCTCTCAATGTCAGTAGTCAACTCCTCCATATCATTAGTACTTTACTGACTTGAAAGCAGAGCAAATGGCTTTCACAGAGAAGCATATTTCATTAGTGGCGTAGTGACAAGGACTAATCCTTATTTTCCTCTCTTGTCCTCTCTCCTTCCCCCCCTTTTCCAGTTCCTCACTGAACAAGAAACTAAATTTCAAATCAGCTTTCCTTTTTTCTCTCACAGGTGCTCCAAACAGACCTAAAAGAATAACTGTTTAGGAAACAGCAGGGGAGAGCAGCCTCTGAAAACATGAAGAATCCTACTGTGAGAGTCTTTCTTGATGGATCAAGAGCTGTATTTACAGTAAGGGAATTGAAATAATCCTGCAAAATAAAATACCTCACCAATTGGAACTTAAATAACTGTATCCATGCTGCAATATAATTAACAACTCCATTATACTAGAACAGTTTTTGCATGTATCCTAGAGAAGCAATTCAAGGATAAAGTCTTTCCTGCAGTGCTCAAAAATACAGAGGTCCAAAAAGCTAGTGTTGAGCAAAACAGTAATTTGGTGTCTGCATGCATTCATATACAACACTACTTAAAAGAATTTGACTGAGATTGACATAAAGCAAGATTGGCTCCTGAATCAGTTTTTCCCTCTTCTCATTTTAGCCCAAAAGGAAATCCACTTTTCTTCTCAGACAAGGGATGGAGGGGGTGAAGAGAAAGATAAAAGCAACAGTCTAGAACGTCTTGAACAGCACTCAGAAGAGTGGGGGCTGGAGTGCAGAAAAATAAAGTCAGCCTATTAAGACCAGAACAAACAACAAACTTCCCAATCTATACATAGAAGCTTTGCATTTAACTACTGAAACAACATTCTGATAGTCCTGTTCTGAGCTAGCCATTATTAGAACCCAGCCTTTGTTATCTTTTGTAGGAAAGGTAGTTCAGTTCCAGTGTCACAACCTCTGCTTTTGCAAAATGCTGCAGGTCATTTTATATGAAAACTTACTGAACTGAAATTACACCCCACAGAATTTTGTAAACAAGAAAATAGGTTCTGCAGACAGCACAGACAGCGAAAAGCTTTTATTTGCAGAAGACAGACAACATAATCTAGCTTGCTTGTGCACTTTAGGCTTTATAACAATTTCTTGTAGAACTGCATGTGGATGTATTTCAGGCTTACATTTTGGACTACAGCTGTAGCTGTTTACTTTGCATAGCTACAAAGTTTTCTGTGCAGATAAATAAATATTAATGACGGGAAATAGCTGTTCAGTTATTCAGAGCCCTCATTCTCCCTAATCCTTACAGCAAGGCCTTTAAGGTAGATTTCTATAGAGTTTATCCAAACAATACATCAAATTGTCAACTAAATTTGATACAGAAAATACCACTACTAAACAAATGCAAGTTAACAAGTCATTTGACAAGAAATATTCTTGTATGTTAGATCAGGGATGAGGGATCATGTGGAGAGCAAAAGGATTAGTAGTTAGGCTACTTCAGGCTATGTATTAAGATACACATGTCCTGGGACCAAGGATGTGAATACATGCATGACATTGCTTTAATATCTATCAGATATTAAACTGATAGATACTAAAGATCTGATATCTATCAGATACTAACTTCTTGCTATTAAAATTTTCGTTCTTCCCATTAAAAAAAAATATATATATATATATATATATATATATATATAGGAAGAGAAAGCGAGACCTACCACAGTGTTTATCTCAGTGAGGAAAGTAGAATGAAGTTATATTCTCCTTTATTTATAAAGCTTTTAAATTTCCTAAAAGTGCTCCAGGCCAACTCTGACAGATGAGGTAAATACAATTTCAGACTTCACATGAAGAGAAACAGCAGAATAATGTGTTCTTAAAATAATGCAAAAGAATAGGGAGATAAACACTAAAGAAATAATTCATTTCTGTTTAGTGCCAGGCCACTATATAGTTTTGTTTGAGTATTTGTACTTATGTTTTTACAGGTTGTGAAATTTATTTTATTAGCAATTCAGCTCTGCGTGGCCTTATTTGCTGCAAAAAGATTCGTAAGTTCCCTACATGGGAGTATGTAGTGAGCAGTCAGCTTCTGGAAGCTGGTTTGTGTAGACTCATCTCTAGAGCTGAAGGCATTTCTGTAGGAGGAGCCATTTGGGAGAGTCATTCCCCTCTCCCTTTACTGCGTGTAGTGTTTTACAGGAGCACAGTTCAGGAAAGTAGCTTGTATTCTGCAAGTCACTCCATGGTGGAAAATGCAGCAGCATAAACTGAGGAGCAGTGGATGAGGAAGTATTTTCCATCAGATGCCTGTTTTCATGGTTTCTCATCTGCTCTCTCTCTTCCACTCAGAACAGTGCAAAGATATCCACTCCTTCTACAGCCACTCAAGTGGACTTTGTACACGTTTAACCATACATTTCATATTGATTGTGCCTAGAACCTGGTTATTAATACCTACCTGCAATTTTTAATTAAAAAAAAATAAAATAATACTGTTCTGAGAATCCAGGCCTCCAAATATGTTTATGTACTTAATTCTTACTGAATTAAATGGTGGGAGATTTAAGCATTTTTACATTTCAGAATCTTGAAATCAGTCATCATCCAATGAATACCTACAGACCTTTCTGTAGGTAATACAATTTCCATGAGCATCAGAAATGGAGAAAGATTTCCTAGCCTGGAAAATAATCATAATATGACCAAAATATTACAAAATTTGTAAGCTAAGAACTTATTCTTACAGCACCCAACATTTCTCTGCTGCACAAGGTTGCTAGACAGCCCCAGTCTCCATGTATATTATGGATTTGTTGTCCTTGATTATCCACCAGGGACCTGGCACAAGGGAGTTCTCTTGTTTACATGCCTCATTTATGTACAGCTGAGCTATTTGCATGACAATTATGAAAACCATCTACATTCATATATTTCTTTTTTCTCTGCAGAGCAGAGCACAACTGACAATGCAGGATCCAGACAACAGAACCTATGGGACATAGGAGTGTCAGCTTACTCAACCATGGTATGGCAACTCCCCACCCCAAGCATGTCCAAGATCACTTGCGTGCATGAAAGTAGCATACACACATACTTGCAGACAGAGGCTTAGTTATTTCCCAAAATTCTTTTAGATGTATAGTAGATTTCCACAGGGTAATGTTCCAAAACCATCATGTTAACAGTGAGATTTAATCTGAGAGCTAAGCAGCTTCAGGGTGCTGCAAGGAGAACATCTGAATAGTACAATTTTTAGTCATGCAGAGCACCAGATCCTCAGAACAGGAAAGCAGTGGCATTTTACCTTTCCAGTCAGTCAGTGAAGCATGAGTGCTTTCACTCAAATTCACTGGAGGATTCTGGGTGAAAACATTTGGTGTTTACTAGCAGCCAAGCATCAGCCACCATAACATATTCAGTATTGAGGTTTTCATATCATCTGATGGTCAGACACCGAGAGCTCACAAAGGAATGCAACATATTGAATGCAAACACTCTCGCGTACCTGAGAGGCAATGCTGGAAATCATAACCTCACCCCAATCCGGGATGTACCTTGAAAAAATGCCATTTTTCTAGTGGTGTTATGGAGAAAAAATACATATATAGCCACCACCAAGAAATAGTACCATGCATACTTTAAGTTGGGGAGGAAGGTTTAAATAATATAGCATTGCATTTTGAACTAGAAGGGGAAGGCAACTTATTTGCCTCAGAAGAAATATCGAAGGGGATTTTTCAGCCCTATCTAGGTATATTTGCTCCTTAACCATGTTAAAAACCTCTTACATCAGTGTGAGCAGGGAACATTTGTGCTGCAGTTCTTATTACTCAGATGAGTGCCCTCAACATGGAAAAAAAAGAATGCAATCTTCACTTTCGTGTGCAAAATTAGTATTAGCAGCTTCCAAGCCTTGTTTTCCATAAATATCCCATTTCCTGGTAATTAGCACATTTTTCTGTTAGCTGGAAGCTTCAAGTGCTCTCTAGCAGAGGAGAAAAAAATAAGCTAGAAATATCTTGCTCTAGAGCAGTGATGTGATTGCTAGTTTCCAGTTAAGGATCAGGTCAACTATGATCATGGCCCACTGAAGCACTTCATATTAGGAGAATTAATCCATGTGGTTCTTTTACTTTGCTTCTGATGCTATGCTCAAATCTTGAAACTTGTAAACAAATATTGTTAATTTTATTTTTATTACACAATTAAAAAGCACCATTCAATTCCAGAGCTCCTCTAGCAAGGAACAGCAGGGTGAGGGACAAGTTTTACCCTGAAGACAGTCAAATTAAACTGCTATCTGCATTGTACAGACTTCAGAAGCAGAGGAATAGGCTAGGCAAGCTGCCAAAGGTCACATTAGAAAATATCTGTGATAGCTTAAGGAACTAAGATGCTTTGAATCCTATCCAGAGCCACTGAACATTGTTTTCTGTCAGCCTTAAAACTTGTCCTGCTTCAGGAAAAGCTTCACCCCTGAGAGCCAGGAAGTAAGGCTGTTTTTCAAGTTTATTAACTTCATAAATAGTTTTGTTAACCTTCCTCATCAAATTTCCTACTGGTGTTTGTAAAGTCTCACACTGCAACAGGGAAGAAAACACTGTTAAAAAAACAAGGAAATATAAAACCTTAAGGAATCATCAGAAGATCTGACAGGCAGGCAGAGCGCCCTAAATCATTTTAACTCATTCCTTAATTGAATTACTTTCAAGCTGATTGAGCCCGTTAGGCTCTCAAATCCCAAGATATAGGCCATGTATTACAACAAAACCAACACTTTCTGGTCTGTATTTGTAACTGTACGATTCAAGGTCAATTCCAAGTTTGAAATTTTCACACAAATCCTCAAGATGATGGTAAAAAGAAAGAGCTGGAAAGAAAATTAGCCTCGGATGAAAGTTAGTAATTGCCTTGACTTCTGACTCCTTATGCTCTCCATGAAGTGAACTTCCATCCCCTTAAGAAAGAAAATCCCAGACACAAGCTAAAAAAAAAAATAATAATAAAAAAAAAAAAAAAAAAAAAAAAAAAAGATTTTTCTGAGGTTACACTGCCATCTATTGTCATTGCATGGTTTGTTCACCTTTTTATGAAGCCTCATTTTACAGCTCTTCAAGTGAGTTTTCTAAAACAAAACCTTCAATCCTAAATTGTTTGAATTAGCTCCAGTTCTACTATTCCGCTGAGGATACATTCCCCAGCTTCAGATTTTTATTACTGGTCATTCCCAGTCTACGTTTTGCAATTTATTTTTTTTTTTTTTCATTTACACCAATTCCCAGTTTGTACAGTAAACAACTTGCTTTTACAACTCATTTCCTTGTATATATTCATGCACATTTTATGCTTAGATATAAAAACTAGAATGTTTTTAGAAAATGCACAATGGCACTGTAGATTCATATATAGCCTCAATAAAATAATGCATCATTTCTACTTCCATAAACTGACTGAATTAGGGAAGACAAATGCTGCATTGCCAACACTTAGCTCCTGAGCCAGACCTGTGCCTCTAATGGAGCCTTCTGAGAAAAAAAATAAAAGAAAAAAGAAAAAAAGAAAAAATAATAATCATAGAATGACCTGGGTTGAAAAGGATCACAATGACCATCTAGTTTCAACCCCCTCCTGCTATGTGCAGGGTCACCAACCAACAGACCAGGCTGCTCAGAGCCACATCCAGCCTGACCATGAATGCCTCCAGGAATGGGGCATCCACAGCGTTCTTGGGCAACCTTTTCCAGTGTGTCACCACCCTCCGGTAAACAGCCATTCCCCCCTCCTTCAAGTACTGGAAGGCCACAATGAGGTCTCCCTGGAACCTTCTCTTCTCCAAGCTAAACAAGCCCAGTTCCCTCAAGCTTTCCTTAGAGGAGAGGTGCTCCAGCCCTCTGATCATCTTAGAGATCCTCCTCTGGTCTTGTTCCAAGAGCTCTGTGTCTTTCTTATACTGGGGGCCTCTACCCTGACACAGAACCATTGATAACAACCCTTTGCCTGCAAGCAGCCAGCAAATTACTAATCCACTGAACAGTCCATCCTTCAAATCCACACCTCTCCAATTTAGAAAGAAGAATGTGGCAAGGGACTATGTCAAAGGCTTTGCAGAAGTCCAGGTAGATGACATCCGTAGCCCTTCCCCCATCCACTAATGCCATCACTCCATCTTAGAAGGCCACCAGATTGGTCAGGCTATCTCATGCTGGCTGTCTCAAATCATCTCTTTATCCAGTATATGCCTTAACATAGCTTCTAGGAGGATCTGCTCCATGATCTTCCCAGGCACAGAGATGAGGTTCACCTGCCTGTAGTTCCCCAAGTCTTCCTTTCTCCCTTCCTTAAAAATAGGAGTACCGTTTCCCTTTTTCCAGTCACCAGGAACTTCACCAGACAGCCATGATTTTTCAAGTATGATGGCAAGCAGCTCAACAACCACATCAGCCATCTCTTTCAGAACGCTAGGATGGATACAATCTGGCCCCATGGACTTACACAAATTCAATTGCATGAGGAGGATTCAGCCTTTTTCCACCATTACAGTGGGACAGAAAACACTCCCCACACCCTCATCTAGAGGCTCATGGTCTAGAAAAACCATGAAAGTGTGGGAAGATTGACCACCCGTGAAGACTGAGGCAAAGCACTCATTGAGCATCTCAGCTTTTTCTACGTCTGAGGAAGCCAGCTCCCCATTACTTTTCTTCAGAGGGAGGAACACAAAGAAACTTTAAAAGACACCTAGCAGATTGGTGATATGAGATTTCATATTTTCACCTAAAGGAACAATCTTCAGGTTGTCTGATGATCTTCAAAATATCTATTTCTTCGGCAATGCTGAACTGCTGCAGGAGTCTGCCAGCACCACATACCACTATGCTTTCAAGTACAGCAGATCATGCTCTAAAGGTATGAACATCTTTGCAATTGGTACTCTTTGTCTTTCTCCATTTCAGGAAAAAAAAAAAAATCAGATGAAAACTACTTATGATATTGAAATCAAGTAGTGGTACATATGCTCACATACCTTTATTATGATGAAAACACCAGAAGTAGGACCTCTGAACATTCTACTGTAAGAGATAATTGGGAAAAAAAGAATGTATAACTAAGGGCTACTAATATGGCTAGAAGAAAATGAGTCACAGTTGCTATAGGCATATTTCTGCTATGCAAACATTTGCACATTAACTTTCATTTAGCACCACTCACGTATAAATTTAGAGTGAATATATTAATATTGATGTGTAAGCACTAAATATATGGAAAACAGGTGCTAAACTGGAATTGTTTCTGGCTTCCTTCAGTTACCATTGTTTTCTTGGTTATTATAGAAGGAACACTACTTACAAAAGTAAAAACACATAAAACAAGTTTAGATAAAATGTAAATATTTTCGTATTAGAAGTCAGTTTAATCGTTACTGCCACAACTGGAGCCACCAAGTAGCATATCCTGTAACTAAGCTAGAATTTCTCTTTGCAAAAGGCAAAGTATCCTTTCTTTGGCATTAGAAACCCTGCTGAATTGTTTAAAATCACGTTTTAAATCTGCAACATTTTATGTGTAGAAATATCTAATACAAAAATGAACAGTCAAAAAAAGTAAAAACTGAGAATACATGCATTTTAAAATAAATGAAGAAATCTTGATTGTTGATTTCATTTTTTTTTTTTTTAATTACAAACGTTTCATAGAAAGTAAAGAGTGCAAAGACAGTACACATTTATTTTTAAGGAGCTCTATGTTCCATCATAACTTTCAAGTACCACTGGGGGAAGGCATAGTGATGAGCAAGGCCGTAATTACCTCCTTGGCATCACCCTGTGAGTCCATGAAATCCTTCTACACATTGCTGTGCTCAGCTCTCCAAACACATCTGGATGGGGATGACCTAGGTGCTAGAACTGAAATAGATGGGAGAATAATTAATATTTTAAAAATTCTTTAAAAAAAACCACAACAATTCCTGGTTGTTTACCAGTAGCGAAGACTAGTCTTTGGCTGGACCTGCCCCCCATCTCTGCCTTAGAAGGTGGGTAAGGTATCTCAGGCCCTGTATGCCCAGGAACACGCATGTGCCTGATCCTTCAGATGGTTACAGTATGCTTAAGACCCCTTTCAAAGTCTTAAGTATTGTCTTCCCCTTCCCATTAGAAAGAACAACAGGTTTGGTGGATATGTTGTATTTCTTTCAGAGGTGTACTAACAGTTTCACTCCACAGAGTGTGTGCTGGAAGCAGTTATTGTAGTAACAGTTTTGAAGGGAGCGATTGAATTATACAAGCTCTTCTTCTAATGTGTTTTAAGTAATAAAGTTCAGTGCCAAAGGAACTTATTGGCAAGATGAGATCATTCAAGCATGAAAATCCATTTGAAAAATAATTACTTCAACTCTGTCCTATATACTCACTGAATGCTGCTAAATCCTTCTAGTTAACAAAATAACAAATGAGCAAACAAATCAGGCAGACAAGGGGGGACAATAAAAATGGAAGCATTTTTGACAAAAACCCAGTAGCAAAAACACAACAGGAAGTTGTTTTCTGCACAGTTGGATGCATTGACATAGCAATGTAGGAGCTGGGAAATTATTTCTTCAGGTTTTATAACCCTTTTTGTGGCTTTGGCTATATTCTGCAGAAGCCATCAGATACGTACACAGAGTAGCTCTGTGCTGTATACGTAGTTAAAATAAGCGGGGGTCATGGGGCAGGAGTAAAGGAGAGAGAAGAATCCTCCAGCCCCATGTTTATGTTGCCCCTGCATGATTTGGTAAATGGCAAAATATATCACAATTTTGAAGATAACCTGAGTCATGCCACAAAAGTTGTATCTCCCTTGGGGACAGTATTTTTCCTTATTATATTTCCTTATTATAAACACTTCTGTTTATTCCTTCTCCTGACAGTTCCCAAATTCTTGCTCTTCGACATCACAGAGAAAACAAACGCACAGTCCTGGCAAATGAACCTGTGGGATAGAGGAGTACAGGGTCGTGAATACGTCAGAAAGCTGACTGGACCATAGTCCATCTTATCCTCTGCACTGGGGCTATTGCAAGTGATCGAACATCCTTTGGAACAATCACAGTTTCAACTGTAATAACTTTCTCATAGCTAGCAATATTAAGAATACCAAAGAGACCTATTTCATTATATTTTTCTTTTAACTTCTCTGCAGTGATTTAACTTCCCTTTTTTTTTTTTAATCTCGGCTGTTGAAGGTTTGTTACAATCTCCTCCTGCATCCTACCTCCCACATCTCACAATCTACTTAATGACTTCTTTCATTTATTTTTCTAGCTCTTCCTACACACAAGATTAAAATTCCCTGCTGCAGCATTTGTTATCTTCTCTCATTCTGTTTAGTGTGATGACCAGAAAGCTGTGTAAGTATATGTACTTAGGATATCTGAGTAAAGGTAATTAATATAAAGCACATTCTCATATCATTTACTAGGCAGGGACTAGTTTTTATGAAGTACTGACCTCCAGGACCTTATTTCATAATATTATTTCCATCCTAACAGGAGAGATAGTGATAGTACATGCACATATCCTGGGCAACAAGCAACTCAGAGAACTGATATTTGCTGCCCACTGTTGATTTTATCTCAGAAGTCAAGTACTCCTATGCAAAATTGGGCTAAAATAAATTACATCTGATGAATCATACTGTCAACACCACTTCCCACAAAAATATTGTGAAAGTAATGCTATTTTAATATTAAGTGTCATCATGTTGAAATTCTAATATGAAGTTTTTGTGTTTGAGATCCTAGATCCAAATTAACTGTTCTAGAGAGATGCTCTTGATGTTCTTTACTGCAGCACCAATGCCTGCCTCAGACTCACTTGTACTTGGGAGCATCCCGTGCCTCTGGTAATACAATAGGGAAGAGACTGTGACACTGCAGGCTGTTTGGGAAAGCCGCATGGCAAAAAGGCTATTTAGGTCTTATGCACAACAGCTTGGGAATAAGTGGCTTAAACTACCCAAGGCCACATAGCCAGTCCTTAAATTGTGTCTTCTGAAAATAGAAACAGAAAGGTCTGCTGCTTTGCTAGCACACCTCAAATTCACTGCTTTCCTGTGGAATAAACTAAAATTAAATTCAAGTAGACACACACACACACACACACACACACACACACACACACACAAAAAAAAAAAAAACTCTAATCAGATAAGACTTAAATTTAATCCTCTTGAGTTTAGACTGTTATTACTATGGTCCCATAGGACTGAGAGGGATTTCTTGTGCTTCAGGACACATTATGTTATGTAAGGCCCTTCATAATACATCCCTCAAAAATCTTAAGGAAGATTTTCATGAAGCCCAGTTCAGATTGGTACACTGTAGCAACCAGACCCACTTTGGGCAGGAGCCACCTGAGCCACCAGCAACAGCTGCTCCTCCTGCAGACAAAACTCAGGGCAGGCTGCTCAGCCTCTGGACATATGTCCCAAAAGCCTTCAAAAGTCCCAGTCCACTCACTAAATACTTTCCTACTGTTATTTTCCGTAATAGACTGCCAGCTCCTTCTCAGTTCTCACCTGCCACCTGCCACCCCCCTTTTTCCATCAGCACTGTGACTCAGCTGCAGCACCACTGTGAGCTACTTAGATTTGAATATTTTATCTTCAACTTTCAACCTTCAGCTTCAGGGTCCTTAAATATTACCAAATATAATGCAGATGTGTACTTATGTATGCATGTTTACATATGTGTGTATACTCACACATACATAACAGTAAAACTGAAAGTGCAGGAAAGAGAAAACAGTAAATATTACATTCTCCTACTGCAGATCCACTTTTACTGTATAATTTGTAATATTTAGGATTGAGAACTACCAACAAGGAATTGAAAAATTTAATTTGTTACACTACTGTGCATTAGTTCAAAATCCAGTCCTGTGATTTCAAAGCTTTCTTCAGAAGCAGCAGCAGATAATTCTTCCAATGATACTATTTTCACTGAGGAAGATGGCTTTATCCTTCCAGATCCTTCCTGAATCTAAGAATCTTGATTCTGCTCTTCAACAGACTAATTTACAATATGGATGTATATTCTTCATAACCATGACTGGCTTATTTTTCGCTTGTGCCTAATAAAGAAAAAGAGGACATTTTAGAAACAGTCCATGTGTTAGAAGACAGCTATATGTCAGTTTTCATTTTCTGTTGTAGTTTAAACTTTCCCCTCAATTTGAAATTGTAAATTTCTAACTGAAAGAATACCATGGCCCCTGCATTCTCTCAACTTACTCAAAACACCCAGCTCTTGAGGTGATGTTTTAACATGTCAGGGACAATTCCGAGTCAGACTTTTGGCGCAAAAGCCAATAGGGATTGAGAGGCTTTTTGGCTGCTAAGTGCTCTTTCCTTTGAAAATCCTGCAAAGAGCAAACCAGAAAATGTCACTTAAACTAGTAGATTACAACAGATATTTTACATGGATCATAAACAGACATCCTTGAACGTAGAAGCTGTCATTTGTCTCTATTTTAGAATAAAATGGAGCACTTCTGAGAACACCTGCGTCATACTCAGTTCTCAGATTATTATTTTTTTCTTATGAGTACAGGAAAGGAGAAGTTATGCTTAAAAAAAAAGTCTTAAAATACAAGCCAATCTTTCTTCACCTTCAATTTTGATAATATACCCCAAGCCTTTAAACATCATCATCATCTTCAACTCAAGTTGGTAGTAAATAGAACAAATTTGCTTGCAATAATTTCCAAGGTGACATAATAACATCTAACTGAGTCTGGATAGCTCAGTACTATTGATGCTCATTGCTAGCCTTGCTAAAAACATGGAGCTTCCCTCAGCTGGCATTATGAGCGCAGCTCCAAGGCAGCAGCAGGGAGATAGGGAATTTGTAGGGCTTTGCATCACCTTGTATAAATCCTTCAAGAAGGACAGCAAAGACTATCAGCACTTCAGCCTGCTGTTAAAAAGGGCAAATATTGGAAAATCAGCAATGAAGCAATGTCCCCGGTTACCTACCAGGGAAAGTAGAAATCCAGTAAATTCATTTTATACAGACAACAGCCAGTCTAAGAGGGTTTAAAACCATGGCCTGCTGATGAAGGACTCCACACAGCAGACTAGAGCAAGTTTTGTTCAATGAAGATACAAGTGAGTTTTTATCAGAGTTTTTATCCCTTGTGAACTTGAACCTGGGGGATTATTCATCATCATGAACAGGCCAGTGATCAAGGGGCCTTTGTGCTCCAATTAATGCTCTCTCTCATTATTCTAAGGCACATCCTGGGTTTGCAGCCCAAGCCAGAGATGTGATGGCTACAAGGCATCACCCTGAAAAAGATGCCCAAACTATTACCAGCTGCCTTTGTCCTTTCTACTACAAGCTTCTTGTTCTTTTGAGTTCCTGAAGGATCAACTTACATCTGCATATTTTAATAACTGCCTGCTATACTCTGTTGAAGTGTAAAATATACTTTTAGGATATTTCTAAGATTAGTAGGCAACTATTGTAAATTGAGCTTTAGTCTTTGTTTGTAATAGGCTGCAGTTTCTCCAGATTCAAAGTCCATGAAAACATGAAGAAAAGAGCAATTATGGGATCTGCTGAAAAATTTCAGATCCCATCTAACTACATAGGAATGCAGGATTCTTCATCTATTTCAGAGATCAATGATAAAGGTATGTTTGCAAATCAACTTTTTTAACTAATAAAGTGGAAGTGTCTATAAGTCTTCAGGAAATCTAGAAGCAAAATATAAACACGCAGCAACAAATGATAACGAATACATCCACATATAACCCACCTAAAATTTCAGAAAACACAAGCTGCTATTTCATTAAATTACACACCAGCTTTATCAAATACACATATGTATAGTCAATGAATATAAAGATGTCATAATCATGAAATAAACAAGAGAGTTAAGCAAAGCAGGTTATAACAACAAAAAGAGAATAGATGGAAAGCTTACCTGCATCCTGGGCTTGCTGCAAAACTCCAGAGGAGAGATCTCCAAAAGAGAACTTTTCCCACTGGTAGCCAGCTCTTAAATGGGTCTAGGAGAGGTGGAACCAGGCTCCACCCCTTCTGGCAGCACAGGAGAATTGCCTTCACCTGTGCTCCCGTGTCTGACTCATTGCTCAGGTGATCAATCAGAGGTTCAGGCATACAACGTATTACTTATTCATTTCTTAGTGACATTTTAAAGGAACATAAAAGCCATCTTGATTTTTAAAGGCTTTAAAGTAAAAATAAATAAATAAATTAAAATAGTTACTTCATAGTTCAGGCTTTATTTTCAGCTGCAATCTTGGTGCTGTAGATGGCACTGTAGGCCCAGCAAAGAAATCATTCTCCTTCAGCATGATAACGTTCAGCTGATCCCCTTCATTCCCAGAGCAGGAGCTCAATTAATTATTTAAATCATTAAAACCTACAATAGCAAATGACAATGCTTATATAAAAATAATTTATTATGGTTTTATGACAAGCAGTACTACATCAGACATTTAATTAGTTTTAATTAACTGTGGAGTTCCACGTGTGTTTTGAAAGGTTAAAAAAACCTTTAGTTTCCCTAGATTTTGAATTCTAAGAACCTAGACTTTCATTGAAATATCCTAATAAAAAGCAAACAATAATTACCTCCACCTATTTGCATGGAGAGTAGATGTAACAGTAGTTTAAATAAGGAGGCGGCTTGCCATGTCTTGCGTGCACTTGCATGAAGCCAGAAAATCACATTACAGTACAACAGTAGTTACTTAAGATGGAAGAGAGAGGGCGTTATGGCTTCTCTCTTTGCATGCTCATTTTCCGTGCTCCACGAGGAGTACTTGCTTTCTAAATATTTTGTAGTCCATTTTGTTTCCTCTTCAGCTATTTTTCAGCATTGCAATCACTTCAGCATACATACATATGTGTAAAACAACTGTCATTAATGAGACTCTGTTCCTTTCTAATCTCTAGGCACTGTTGTGAATAAGCATGAAAAGCTCATCAAAAACAACGTGACCTGAAAGGGTGATGTTTCATAGAATCATAGAATCTTTTATAGCTTTGGTTCTTTTGGTGTTTTTTCTACATATTTTTCATATAGTTGATTCATAATGATGTGGGCTCTTAGAGTGGTAAGCTAGAGACTCACATATGTGAAATGAGGGAGATCTGAGAAAACTAAGATCCAGAGAAAAGAGTAAGAGTTTGCGTTTTGTGAGCCTGTTATCCAGAGTATAGCACAGGCTAAAGAAATCACATTGAAGAAAAAAAAAAACCAAACAAACACAAACACACAAGCAGTAAATGCATTTATGTGGGATGCAACTCTTCCAAGAAGCACAGTGATCAGATAAACTCACAAACTGCATTGAATGAAGATTATAACATCCCCAGAGGTACAAAGATCCTTTTTGCCTTCTGACAGAGTTACACTTTAATGAAAAGCAGCTACCATCATTACTTAGCAGCAAAGATGTTCAAGGGAAAGGATGTGAAGGTTTTTGCAACTTCACTGATACATTGAAAAGGCTATCTAAAAGGTCTGTACACCATAAATTGCATGACAGTGTAAGAATCACTCTGTATTTTAAATGAAATGCTTGTCTTTTGCAAACCTTAGCCTGCATGTGAAGTTCAAGGAACAGAGCAGCAAATTAGACAATAAAATTAAGGCTTTAAAAAATGTTATCAGCCAAGCATATCTATTCTTTTTTGAAAGTGAGAGCATTTTTGAAAATGTCACTTCTAGTTTTTTGTTGGTGGTGGTTTTTTTTTTGTTTTTTTTTTTTTAAGAATCATAGAACCATTAAGGTTGGAAAGAACTCCAAATATACGTGAACCACAAAGAGAGCATTAGTTAGACCAGTACTCACAAATCAAGAAGAGAGGAATACCCCAAGTTACAAACATAATTTAAGTGTGACAGCTCTGAAAAATACTTTCAAATAGTAATTTTCAGTCAGTTTCCAGAACAAAAAAAAAAAAAAATCAGTAGCATCTTTTATCTTTCCTTCATAAACATCACTTTACTTTAGAGGGAGCCCAAAACCTTGTTAGGACTCCAGATACCCTAACAGACATTAACTGCCCCATCATGAAGGACTGAAGGGGACAAGGTCAAAGCCAGATTTTGGAAGGAGCTTATGGATCTCCCTGAAGCATAAGCCCACCTATCTCTGCCACATTGCTCTCAAAACAGAAAAAAACCACAAGTGAGTGAAATTCTGGAACGTTACCTCTAAAATCATACTAGCTTTCTCCAAGATGGATGAGTTACTTGACACCCCCATCTCCAAGGCACTTTTGCCTGCAGCAGTAATATCTGTATACTGACAACACAAGCTCCAGCTTTAGAGAACTTGTTTCTGAACCCACTCAGCTCTTTCATACATCTATAGCTTGCTTGCCAGCTTTTCCAGGGTGCTCTTCTCATAACCCAGTCAAATAAAATCAGAAATGTCTTTGAAAGGTAAGCAACATACTCCTAACCAGTTTTCACCAAAGGCAAGTAGGTTTGGCTTTACAGAAAAACTGCTGAACTATTCAACCATCTGTCAAAGTAGATTATTTTCATTCAGATCATTTTCCCACTGTTGAAAAAGTCAAACCAACAACCAATAGCCTTGAACACCACAATCCCTGTAAAATCACCCAGTTTTCTGAGCTTCCCTCCTGAAACAACCACCTAGATTCTCTCTAACATCAGCCCAGCTTACATACCCCATCCCAGCACCTTGATCTTCATCCAATCCAAGCCAATCTATGATTCTATGATCTTGCAGAAAGGCAACTACTACACTAAGAGAAGCATTTTCTTTACTCCAAATTAGCACACAAGAAACTCTATTACCTCAACAGCTGGTGTAACTACAGACCAAAAATTATCTTTGCACTTCAGGAGATATCACGTTCTTTATCCAAACCATCTTACAACAAACCATTCCTCAACAACATGGCTTTGTAAGGTAGGGATACATACTGAAGTTCCCAAGAACCCTGATAGAACTTGATGGCCCTGACCATGCTCACCTGGGCACCTCTAGCTCTGGCTGTGTCCCCAGGACAATATTTAAGTTCAGGCTGGGAACTCTTTCTAATTTTCTAAGCCACAGGTACATTTTTCCCTAGTAATGCCTCCTGCTTTTCTTGATTACCTGTTTGGTTTCCCTGAGTTATTTTCCCATTCTGGTATTCAGTGAGGTGCTAGTAAAATCAGTCCATTCTGTCTTCCTTCCTACCCTGCTGTGGGGCTATGCTTTATTGGTGAGACATTTGTTTTGTGGCTGTCTCAGCTCCCAGCTTGCTCTTCACTGTGAAGTAACCTCACTCTTACTTTTGACCATGTTCTTGTTGTTTGTTATGTTACCCCATGTTTTGGGGGGTTGTGAGTCCAGGGATTGTTCATTCACATAGGAGTGAGACAGAGACAAGAAAGCTGGTAGATGAGCTTTCAGTGTTTGAATTAGTCTATTGTAGATCAATTTGCATGTGAATTGAGGTCTCTAGCAGACTCCCTTCCCAAACTTGTTGGTTCACATGCTCTGATTATGAAGCTTGTGCAGCTGGCTTCCACCTTATAGATGATGCAGGGGTTCTAGAGGGGAGGTATAGCAATTCTTAGCTGTGGCTGTTGAGGTGTTCTCCATGCACTGTGCATAAAGGGGACTCTGAAAAGTCCCTTCCCCAGATATAATGCCAGTTCTTCATGTGACTCCATAATTTTCAGGTCTGTTGAATTACCCAATGCCAGAAATCTGCCACTGCTTTCTCACATAACAAAAGGCATAGTGTTTCATGGACTGGTGCTGAACTGAACTGAGAGCTTTGCCTATTGAGTGCCAGATGATAAAAAGTTAGGTGCAATCTGCAAATACTGTGAGGTATCCCACTTAGCTGGCAGCAAAGTTATCCAAGGCTGCAGATCAGAACAGAAATGTGCTGTGAATAAGGGCATAGGGGAATTGGCTTATCATTTGATTGTAACACATATTTCTGGAAGATGTCAGTCAAAGAAAATACTGCTGTGTTGTTTTTCATTATTACTTTAATTGGAAAAGGTTGAGATGTAGAGCTGCCTGCTCCCACACATGAAGAACAAAGACTTAAGAAAAAGAAGGGGGGCTTAAAAAATGGGAAAAACAGAAGAATGTAAAAATTGAGCTTACATCAATATTTTAAAGTATGGAAAAAGGTAGTAAAGCAAATACTAGTTTTCTTCATTACATTCCTGGTGGTTTATGACTGTTAAGTTTCAGTTAATTAACATACCTAAGCAACGATGTAATGTAAATACATTGTTAGTCTTTTAAGTAACATGTTGAAATTACAAACAAGAAAGTTGCTAATATTTGTGTAGCTAGGTTTATTTTATCCAAACCATGTACATAGTTATTATATCCTTGTACCTTGAGAGCAGTGAATTCTCACATATCTACTGACTAATTCTGAAAGGCATGGGAGGATTAATTTTCTGGCAGTGGCAATTTGGAACACCAAATTTATTAGGTAATCTCAGTGCTAACATTTCTCGTACCCTTTACCCCACAATAATTAATTGCAATGCTAACTTGACCTAATAGCACAATTGCAAATGCTAGTCGGGATATTCCACAGATTTTTCTTCCAGGACTCAAATACTTGTGGTTTTCTTCAGAATGTCCTGGAACAAACATTTGTGGCATGTCTAGACCAGCACTTAGTGCTGAATTCAGTTAACTCAAGTTAATTGGTAATCAATTAACTGGAGGAAAAATAGGACCAAAACCTCTACTCTTGACATATTCAAATCCAACAGGCAAAAAGAACTGGAAAAAAACAAAACAAAACAAACAAAACTGCAGGCTGACTCTGCATGATCCTCTTATTTTCTGTTTAAGATAGATTGAAAAACATTAGCATTTGAAAGTCAGCAGGAAAAAAAATTATTTGTGCAGAAGCCCTGTATCTGTCTGTGGATGCAGTGTGTGTCTGAAGAGTAACTGCCTCCACTTACAATGATCTCCAGAGTATAAAACCAAAGCTTTTGTAGAACCAGTCTGCAAGCTATGAAGGAAGCAGAGCAGCAGAGATGCTCAGTGGAGATGCAGCTGTGTGCAAATGCACATTGTGGTGGCTGGAGCTTCATGCTGAAGGCAGCATATGTCATCCTGTTCAAAAGCCTCTTCCCCTGCTATGTGGCATGAGGTGACTGCAGCATCAGTCATTACAGAGGGTGCACCACGGGCAGTCAGGTGGCTGCTGTTGGACCTGAATAGTTGCAAACAAAGCTCAAAGTTCTTCCTGGCAATAGCTCCTGACGCTTGTGCTGTCAGTGGTTATTCAGGCAAAACATTCTCCAGAATGTGAGGTCTCTGGCCATGTTCCCCTGAGGACGTTGGCTGGGCAAGTAGTGCATTTATTATAGCAACAGCCATTGCATTTTCTTTTAAAATACCACTTTTCTGCCCAGGATCCAGTTGGATGTTCCTTCACATGTCCTATAGCTTCTGTGACAGATACACAGTGCTAGCTTTCTGATCTGGAAATGATCGTACTTCAGTAGTATTTTTGTTTATGCTTACAGAGACTGCCAAGAACCTCAATCTTTATTTCATCTCTTAAAAATGAGGCAGTCTAATTCTCTTGCTACCTGTTGTGAGGGCTGTGTTCACATAAACTGTAGCAGTGCAGTTTACATGGTATATACACAAATGTAATGTCACTGCAAACCCACTGACAGCGGGGTTTTTTTAAGATTAAACTGGTCCTTTCAACACAAGTGGAATAATCACACTGCTGTGAATCTCCTCAATAATGCTACAGCTGCTCACACAAGGACCTACTCGTGCTGCTGCAATTAATTTGTTTCAAAAACAGTCACATGCAAACATCCATTTGCATAATAATTGAATCTCTAGAATTTTCCATCTGAAATACTACCCAATGTATTCTGATCACTAAAATCTGTTCTCCAACGCTTGGCAGGGTATTAAATCAAACCGGTGTTTACAAAGAGAGACAAAGAGCCATACCCAGCATTCAGAAGAAGCTCTGTGGGTTTGTGCATTTGAGCTATGTGCCACAGGTACAATTTTATTTGATAGCCAAAATGAGTTTCAGCCTCTGATAGTGAGTGGAGCTCAGCCTGTGTTAGTTCTTCATTGGCAAACTTCCTCTGGGCATCAGTGAAGGGGGCTATAGTATAACACAGTGGTTTCTCATGCATCACTCATCTGCCAAACCTCATGTTGTTATTTTGTTAATGCGTTCAGCTTTGTTTTTCTCTCTGTGTGAAGAGAGCTAGGGCTGCCTTGACGCTCATTTCCAGACCCTCAGGAACCTTCACCTACTTTTCAATCATCTGCAATAAGAGTTTCTAACAGCCAAGGCCATCAAAGCCTGAGATTAAGCTCCTAGAACTATATTTAGGCATTTCAACAGGTGGCCTGAAGTATGAAAGTGCTCAGCCTGCAAGCTGCTGCTTAGCTACTTAAACACTGAAATCCACTGACCAGCTGAGAGGTCAGGCCTGAGAAATACCCAAACGTGTGCTAAGTGTCTGAACGTGTTAATGGGAAGATGGAATAAATTTTTTTTTTCAGGTTGTTTTGGTTTTTTTGGTTTTTTTTTTTAATTCTCTTTCTGCTTTTAAATTACAGTTTTTCCTAGGTAATGTTTATTCTCTCCATTGTCATAGAAAAGCTGTTGTCTGATATCCCTGATGTTCTGTCTTAACTCACACAAAGGTCAATTAAGTTCAGCAGCCAGAGT